CCTGAGTAAGAGATCTGATCCGATAAGATGTCCTGCCAGAAATGCTTGGACGTCCGAACTCTTGCTTCATCTCTGATCCAGAGCCAAGCCAACTCTCTGGATTCTGTGCTGTTATTGAAGCTTGCAGGGAATGCAAAGCAAGCAATGGCATTTGTGCAGCAGCTGCCTCGCCTTGGCTAGCTGACTCCCCATGGTCACAGTATTTAAGGACCAGATTCTAGCCTGATCCATGTGAGTACTTTCGTGCTGGCGCCATTCCTCAGGCCAGGGGAGTGACGGGTGACTTACAGGAGCATGCAGGAGACCAGAATTGGGTCGCACAGCGCTGAATTCGCTGCTTCACTCCCCCCACCCAGATTTTCCTGGCAGCAAGGTTCGAACAGTCTGTCTCGTTTCTGTGGAGTGACCAAAGCCTTTCCTCTCTGGGCTGCAGCTGGGAGTGCAAAATGATGCAGTCTAGTGACTCTGCCGTGGCTACTGTGAAGTGAATTGGTGGCCTCATTGGAGCAACAGAATCCAACTGGCAGGCTTTGTGAATAGGCCGTGGAGACGAAATTCACCTCCTCCTCCCTGATCCATCCAAAGCAGACTGCAGGCGTCCGGGCAGGCAGGAGGGGCAGGAGATGCTTTCACTGCTGCCATCTTGCTCTGTGCTTTCAGGAAACCATTGCTCATCAGCAGAGCTTGGGGACATTTTTCAGTTCAGTTGAATGTGATTGTAGCTCCGGCCCTTCCCAGTCTTTTGTATCTGTCACTGGGTCTCGTTCCATTTCCCCTGCAGGAAGAATTCAGCCAGCTACTGCTATTACAAATGCAGGATTAGTCAGCAGGGAAGGAATCTCTTGTGGAGGCAAATAGCAACTGGCTTGTGTTCCAAAGCAAACCCGCTGCACAGTCTGGGAGAGCATTAGCTACTGGAAATGGACTGTGGGCTGAGACTGATCAGGAAACCTGCAGTCCCTGGAGAGACTCAGAGTTTTGTCAGTCTGAGAAACGTACCGCGTTTCTGCTGGACAGTGACTGGGGAGGGAGCGTTAAACAATCAGTAGCAGGTCTAGGTAGTGCAGTGGGTGTGTTAAATGCAGCCAGCCCGCCTCACAGAGGATGTGAGCTGGAGCACTGCCCTGCCAAGGCTTGGACACAGGGCCGCCTGTATGGGGCACCTAGGCTGCAGAACTAGGATTGCCAGATGGTTTCCCAAAAAATACCAAACAAAACAAACAAACAAAAACAACAGGGGGAAAAAATTGTGAGCAAAACAAAGGAGGGGGGAGGGCAGAAAAAGTTGTTGAACGAAAAACAAAAAAGGAAAGTGATGGAACTGACCCAGCCGAAATGCAGTCGCGGCTCCAACCGGGGGAGCCAGCACGGGGCTGCCACATGTCCCAAGCGGCTTCTGTAGGGGGCCGAGCCGGGCCCCGGGAAAACCAGGAAGTACCGGCCATTTTGGGTGTCCGGTATTTTCTGAATTTTTTTACCAGCCAGAAGGCAAAAATACTGGGCTGTCCGGTTCAGTACCGACACCTGGCAACCCTGGCAAGAACAGACTCCGACAGCTGAATGCTCAGCATCCGACCTCCCTCTCCTGAGCAAGCTGCTTGGGATGGAAGCTCCCCTCCCCCCAAATAGTGCCACCGGGGCTTAGCGACCAGGTCCAAGAAGCAGTGAGAGATTGATTAAAAGTGGAAGTTACACCCTAGTGAGAAATAGGGAGGAGCGTAAGAGACTAGTGGACTGTCTGATGAGCAGAAGCTTGTCGATAGTCAGCTAGTGATGCGACTAGTTGTGCTCAGAGAGAGGCAGCAAGGGGGAGAGCAGGAGCCGGTGCTGGGGGGAGCAGGCTTAAAAGCCAGTTCCCCCGGCACTGTCTCTGCGGGGGGCAGGGAAGCAGAGGCACAGTGGAAACGGTGCGAGCGGGGACGGAAGCAGTCTCTGCTCACACTGCTTCTGCTGCGATTCTGCTTGTATGTGGCAAAGGCAGAAGCCCCGCAGGGAGTGCAGGACTCCCCTGCTGCCCCACACTCCCTGCCAGGCTTCCTTTTGAAATGTAGCAAGAGCCCCAACAGGGCTCTCGTACATTTCAAAGGCTGAGATTCTGCAGGGAGCGTGGGGCCAGTGGGTAAGTCCCTGCTGGCCCCACACTCCCTGCGGGGCTTCTGCTTTTGAACTGGAGCAAGAGCTCAGTAGGGCTCTTGCTACAGTTCAAAGGTGGAGGTGTCTTTATAGACTCATCAGATAGTCAATGGACATCCCATCGACTATCCAGTTAGTTAATTAATCTAAATAACATCCCTAGCATAAACTCTGTCAAATTAAGTGTAATACTATAATAAAAAGAGCCAAAAAGGAGTTTGAAGAGCAGCTAGCCAAAACCTCAAAAAGAAATAGCAAAATGGTTTTTAAGTACATCAGAAGCAGGAAACCAGCTGAACAACCAGTGGGACCCTTGGACAATTAAGATGCTAAAGGAGAACTCAAAGACAATAAGGTCATTGCGGAAAAACTAAATGAATTCTTTGCTTCGTTTTCATGGCTGACAATGGGAGGGAGATTTCCAAACCTGAGCTATTCTTTTTAAGCTGACAAATCTGAGGAATTGTCCCACATTAAGGTGTAATTAGAGGAGGATTTGGAACAAAATGATAAACTAACAGTGACAAGTCACCGGGACCGGATGGCATTCGCCCAAGAGTTCTGAAAGCACTCAAATGGGAAATTGCAGAGCTTTTACCTGTGGTTTGTAACCTATCCTTTAAATCCGCTTCTCTACCTGATGACTGGAAGATAGCTAATGTGATGCCAATATTTAAATAGGGCTCTAGAGGTGATCCTGGCAATTACAGACCAGTACAACTAATGTCAGTACCGGGCAAATTAGTTGAAACTATAGTAAAAAATAAATTGTTATGGAAGAACATAATTTGTTGGGGGAAAGTCAACATGGTTTCTGTAAAGGGAAATCATGTCTTACTAATCTGCTACAGTTCTTTGAGGGGGTCAACAAGCATGTGGATGGGGGATCCAGTGAATATAGTGTTAAATTTCCAGAAAGCCTTTGACAAGGTCCCTCACCAATGCCTCTTAAGCAAAATTCGTTATCATGGGATAAGAGGGAAGGTCCTTTCATGGACTGATAACTGGTTAATAGACAGGAAAGAAGGGTAGGAATAAATGATAAGTTTTCCGAGTGGAGAAGTAACTAGTGGGGTCCCCCAAGGGTCCGTCCTAGGACCAATCCTATTCAACCTATTTATAAATGATCTGGAGAAAGGGGTGATCAGTGAGGTGGCAAAATAGGCAGATGATCCCAAACTGCTCAAGAGAGGTAAGACCAAAGCAGACTGAAGAGCTTCCAAAAGATCTCCCCAAACTCAGTGATTGGGCAACAAAATGGCAAATGAAATGTAATGTTGATAAATGTAAAGTAATGCCCATTGGACAAAATAATCCCAACGACACATACAGTATGATAGGGGCTAATTTAGCTACAGCTACTCAAGAGAGAGATCTTGGAGTCACTGTGGCTAGTTCTCTACAAACATCCACTCAGGTGCAGCAGCCGTCACAAAACACAAACAGAATGTTGGGAGTCATTTAAAAAGGGATAGAGAATAAGACAGAGAATAGCTTATTGCCGCTGTATAAAACCAGGGCACGCCCACATCTTGAATGCTGTGTACAGGTGTGGTTGTTTCATCTCAAAAAAGATACACTGGCATTGGAAAAAGTTCAGAAAAGGGCAACAAAAATGCTGAGAGGTTTGGAACGGGTCCCCTGTGAAGAGATATTAAAGAGACTGGGACTTTTCAGCTTAGAAAGGAGGAGACTAAGGGGGGATATGACAGAGGTCTATAAAATCATGAGTGGTGTGGAAAAAGTGAATAAGGAAAAAATATTGTTCCCATAATACAAGAACTTGGGGTCATCAACTGAAGTTAATAGGCAGCAGGTTTAACACAAACAAAAGGAAATATTTCTTCATGCAACACACAGTCAACCTGTGGAACTCCTTGCCAGAGGATGTGGTGAAGACTAGGACTTTAACAGTATTCAAAAAAGAGCTAGGTAAATTAATGGGGGTTAGATCTATCAGTGGCTGTTAGCCAGGATGGGTAGAAATCGTGTCCTTCTCCTGTTTGTCAAAGGCTGAAAATGGATGACAGGGGAGGGATCACGTGATGATTCCCTGTTCTGGTCATTCCCTCTGGGGCACCTGGCGTTGGCCAATGTGGGCAGACAGGACACTGGGCTGGAGGGGCTGTTGGTCTGACCCCGTCTGGCCGCTCTTATGACTCTATATAGTCTGTTGCATGAAGGAGAGCCACACTTTCAGTCCACGTGTCAGTCATTCTGTGGGTCTTTCTCTTTGGATGAAGAGGGTTCTTCTGAACAGGATTCCACAGCTGAGTGGGTGCACTGGGAGCTTTACTTTGCTCTGAAGCACGAGAGCCTGGCTCCTACTGAAGGAAGGGCGCTAGACTAGGTGTTCTAGGTGCTCTTAGCGGGGATGGTGAGTCGCACATGCCTGCAGTTGAAAAGATGTAAACATAAATGTGTGAGGAAATTTGGCAACCCTGGATCCTTGTGTTAGGTAGGGTAACGGATGACATAGAGATTATGTTTCTTAGCAAGCTCTTAGCACCTCAGACACATAGATTCGCATGTTCACAGTCAACCGATCAATCACACGCATCGGGGTTGGCTTTAGCCAGTATGTGTGTATTGTATGAAATGGTCAGAAGTCTTATTGTGATGTGTCTTAATCCAGAAAGACTCATCATGTTATGTCCTTATAGATAATTTAGATAATTTGCGTGAAGAACTGTTTAAAAACTCACGCAGTGGGTACTAGGAAATTTGCAGAGGGTAATAGGGCAGGTATGGACTAGAACTGACATGAAGGTGTGATATTTTGGGGAAAAGGGAGGAACAGGATATTTGCAAACAGTTTATAGCTGGATCTGTACAACTAGTGCGAGCTTCTTTCTTCTTTAATGCAGAGCCCCAGAGATGGGAAGCCAAAAGCCATCTATGGCCAGCATTTCCACGCGATACAAGAAGGCAGTGTTTGTGGAATATACTGATTCCTCGTTCACGCAAATCAAGCCCAAACCAGCCTGGATGGGTAATGTGAATGACTGTTATCGCTAGTCTAATGAGCTATAGTTTTATATACATCTGATGGTCTTTATTTATGCTAGACAGAATGGTGAGGAGAAGGTAGAGGAACCCGGGTGACCAAAACAGCAACAGGAATCTTAAGGGTTACAGGAACTGTTTCCTTTTGAGCCACTGAAAGTTGTGGCTGTTCAGAAATGTTACTGTGCAGGGATAAGGCAGCGAACATGCTGACGTGGACCAAGGAACAGTGAGTTGAGAAGATGCTGCTACTGCATCTCCCTCTGGGACTGAGTCTGTGCTTTTCAGATGGGAGCTTGATTCCCTGGGCAATTCTTTCCCAACGCCTCACCATGCTACACTTGCAGGTGCCCCGCACGAGCTAATGCTGCAGTGCACTGCAAGTCGTTCCCATGCCTCGCATTTTACTGGTGGGTACTGATCACTGTGATCTGGGATCATTTGGCAGGAAAGGTGAACTATCTATCTTCACCCTTGTAGTACACAATAGAGCATATCCCCAGTTAAAACTGTATGGCTACGTCTACACTGGCAGGATTTTCTGAAAATGCTTTTAACGGAAAACTTTTCCGTTAAAAGCATTTTCAGAAAATCCTGCCAGTGTAGACGTAGCCATACAGTTTTAACTGGGGATATGCTCTATTGTGTACTACAAGGGTGAAGATAGATAGTTCACCTTTCCTGCCAAATGATCCCAGATCACAGTGATCAGTACCCACCAGTAAAATGCGAGGCATGGGAACGACTTGCAGTGCACTGCAGCATTAGCTCGTGCGGGGCACCTGCAAGTGTAGCATGGTGAGGCGTTGGGAAAGAATTGCCCAGGGAATCAAGCTCCCATCTGAAAAGCACAGACTCAGTCCCAGAGGGAGATGCAGTAGCAGCATCTTCTCAACTCACTGTTCCTTGGTCCACGTCAGCATGTTCGCTGCCTTATCCCTGCACAGTAACATTTCTGAACAGCCACAACTTTCAGTGGCTCAAAAGGAAACAGTTCCTGTAACCCTTAAGATTCCTGTTGCTGTTTTGGTCACCCGCCTTGCAGGGGCCTTTTGGGGTCTTTTTGACCCAACATAGGTTGCTGTCAGTGACATGTAGCCTCTGAGGTTATTAAACGTGCTCAGGAAATTGAAGTCTCTTCAAGCACATTGCTCAGTTCCAGTCCCTTTGTAGCCGTGCTGATATTGCTACTTTAAGAAGTGTTTTTTCTTTAAAGAAAACCCCTCAGCATTGATATGTTTTCAGATCGTATTTCTAGCTCCAGAAGACAAGTAGGATCTTGTTTCTTTTGGAGTTGGGGGCTACTATCCTGGGTTAAAATCTTCAAAAAACTTCGATGTGTCTTTGGAGTCAGAGGCCCCTGCAGGACGCAGTGTAGCATGCAGGAGGCTAAGGTCTGTGCATACGGCAGCCAGAGGTGCGGCTCAGCATTGATATGTTTTCAGATCGTATTTCTAGCTCCAGAAGACAAGTAGGATCTTGTTTCTTTTGGAGTTGGGGGCTACTATCCTGGGTTAAAATCTTCAAAAAACTTCGATGTGTCTTTGGAGTCAGAGGCCCCTGCAGGACGCAGTGTAGCATGCAGGAGGCTAAGGTCTGTGCATACGGCAGCCAGAGGTGCGGCGGCCGCCCGAGTTGGCCTGGCCACGCTAGTTTTGGTCTGAGCTCTGACCCCAGTGGCAGCGATGCTGCAGCAGTGCGGCTGTGCAGGCCTCCCTTGTCTCAGGCAAGTAGCCGCTGCTGCTGCAGTGTTGGCCTTGGGTCCGTCTGCAGGGGAGCCAGACCAAGTGCCTGTGGGAC